TGGGCTTTTTTCTTTTGTTGTTGTTGTTGTTTTTGAAAAACTTGAAGATTATTGTTCCACCACGAAACCCATAAAACGATTAAAAAAGGATTTATAAACAAAAAAAAATCAGTTCCTCACTACCATACCAGCCAAAGGGCAGCACAAAAATTGGGTTACAAAATTATTGTCCAAAAATGAATTAAATAAATATTACATGTACACATTTCAGGGCAATTAACCTCAACCGAACATATCTCTTCAAGGAGTCCAGCAATCCTCCTTCTCTTCACAGGATTTTAGTTCTTTATGTTATTCAACACTGTAACTCCAAAATGTCTGGGGGCCTGGTAAAATGCAAATTCACACACTGATACCACAATTCCAACCCATTCTGCCTGCACAATATATAAGTCCTTCATGGAATAACCTTTGCATTGCCAGACTCAGGCCAAGTCCCCACCAGACAGCTGTACAAAAGTCTCTTTCTCCTTGTCTCTCATTCAGGTGGAGTGAAGTCGATGGTCCAGCGGGAGGAGGAGAAATGAGCTTTGGATGTCGCTGGCTCCCGCATCATCTAAACCTCGTGGTTTCTTTTGCAGACTGCTCAGGGCGTCCCTCACCTCCTCAGAGCCAGGGTCAGCAGAGTCTGAGAGAACCCGTCCCCAGCTCCTGTACCTGTGGGGGAGTGGAAAGGACCTCACTCGGCTTGGCTGCACCTTGGATTCCGTCAGAAACCAGGGGAAGGACATAGGAATGGATCGGACGCATTGATAGGCGGAACTGGCACAATATTTGCCCCAGGTCTCCAGGGCCAGTTTTCCACCTCAGCCAAAGACACCTCCAAAAAACCCTTGTTTCCTTAGAGGTGAGGAGTCCCTTTTTTAAACAAGAAGGAGCTCTGCGTTTATTCGATTGTGCTCGGAGAGCCACAGTGACACACCCAGACTGAAACGCTGAGGCAAAACCCTGAACATACACTGATCCCTGGTGTGAGAAGGCACTGAAGGATTCAGCCCTTTTGGAAACAGTTTGGACCACTAGATATGACTGATTTATCACTGAAATATATCCTTATTAGATAAAAAAACAATTTACCACTGAATGATGACCAATTCATCAATGAGAATATCTATAAACTATCATAATAATACATATAATAATAATAATAATAATAATGAATAATATTATTCATAAAAAAATATGTCAGTGTTTATCATGACTCACAGCAATGTCTGGCTTTTATAATCAAACAACCTTCCTGCTAAATTCAGCATTACCATTAAAGTACAAAACTTAAAAGGCACTGTATTCATTTCACTACCATTCCACCACAACCTACATTACCTTTCATGAAGACATAGTCTTTACAATAAATTCAAAATGGAGTGACAGGGGCACATATTTGTTTCTTCAGATGTTTATAAAGGGCGTTGTTCAAATATTTTTTTAAACACATTGTTCAATGTCATAAATTATGGAGTACAATTCGATAAACCCCTTAATGTTGTAGTTAAATTTATTTGAAAAAAAAGAAGCTAAAAAACATTAGATCAAAAATACAATAAAAAATCACATTTTCACCTGGTTGAATACTGTGGTGAACCGTATTTATCACTATAAGACACTTTATTCACATATAATTACTATACATATTTCTCCTTCTAGCTGATATGTTATATCTATAAGTATATATATAGTTGATTTTGGTTACTTCTATCACCACCATCAAACATACACTGATATTGTATATTATTGTGGGCTGCATTTCTCCTCCCTGTGAGGAGAGGTTAATGGCAAAACTCAAGATGTTCTTCCCACCTCTACTTATCTGACTGCAAGGAGAGGATGATAATGAGAACAGTGGACACACATTTTAACATTATGGACTATAGGACAGGCACGCGCTGTATAACATCTGCTGGGCAGGGTGAACATCTTCACTGATTCTTTGATTTGGGAACAATATTTTCATTTGTGCTAGCAATGTAACATATAACACATGACACATTGGGGGTTAAGACTTCCAGGTATAGTTATTCTTGTAATCGGCCCCGTTGATAACCTGGGTGGGTCAAAACTGGGGGCTGCGAGCTAGGGTCGAAGCCCCATAGACGGGCATTCATAATCAGTTGGTTCAGTGGGATGAATTTAAGTGACTTGTTGGATCTGTTATTAAGTGTTAAACCAATTGTTTTTCTTTTGTTAAGGCAAAGCAGCAGCTGGCATAGCTTATTGAAAACTCTTCCTTCAATATTTAGTGGCTAACTTCATTCGAGGCCAGTACTCCTTTAGTACAAGATGGACTCCTTTGAATGTCTCGTCGATCACAGTCAGGCCCTCTAGCCCCCAATAGGACAGCCTGTGACCCCAAGCTCAGGGAGGCCATTGCTCGGGAAAGATTAGTCTATATCCCTAGGAAAACTTGCCACTATTCAGTTGGCATAGGGTGGAGATTAATTCCGGACCTGGGTGAGGAAGTACCAAGCCATCATGTGTGCCCTTGTAGACTTGCTAACTATTGATAAGGCCCATTTTATTTATGATTTCATCTGATTGGTGATGCTCGTGAGGAGATTAAGTACCGGACAAGGCAAGTGAGTGAAGACCCCTGGACCATTTTTGAGATCCTCCTTGCTCAGTAAGCTGCCCTATGTCTTTCATTGCAGGTCAAAGAAGGCCTTGTTATATGCTAGAAGGCGAACAGGACGGTGAGTCATTAAGGGTGTTCTAACATGCTCTGTTTTCTTTAATGGACAAAATGATCCAGAGTTGTCCAGACAAACGCATCCCTGATGCTGCTAAATTGCTGCGTGATCAGTTTGTAGAGTGTGTAGGGGATGGGAATTTGAGCCGGGAGCTTAGGAGAATTGCTCGTGAACATCCTGACTGTGACCTTCATGCTATTAGGGATGAAGCTATTAGGTGGGAACGTGAGGGCAGATCTGGGGAAGAACTAGGCCGACCCAGGAGTTATTCTGTCCCCTCAGTTTATAGCATGCAGAATGCAGGGCAGGCTAGGGGTCAGAAAGATACTGTAGGGTCAGAGCTGGTAGCGCTTAAAGAAATGTTGAAGCAGCAACAGGCTCAAATTGATCAGCTTACACAAGAACTACGATCAAACCACACTTCAGTGAAGCCCAGACCCTTCCAAAAGAGAGGGCCACTCATCTGCAGACGGTGTCAAAAACCAGGACATTTTGCTAAAGACTGTGATAATGAAAGGGTCGTTGCTTCTGAACTTAGGTGTTCTACTCAGGGTTCAGTCAGCCAGCCCTCCCAGTTCCAGCAGTCGGAAAACTAGCTCCCTCTGTTATGCTGAGCCACATTTCAGATGGGGGCATCACTGGCTCCAATGGGGATATTCTTCCAAGTTCTGACCCCACACCCAACTTGGTAGGTTCCCTGTCCAAAGGTCCACCATGGGGGTGAACATCTCTTGCCTATTAGACACTGGGTCTATGGTCACCACCATTACAGAGAGTTTCTTTGCCAAACATTTTGAGACAGGGGGCCCAGAGAAGCTGAGGGCGTGCCACTGGTTACGGTTACGTGCAGCCAATGGGCTAGAAATCCCTTACATTGGCTATTTGGAACTTGATTTTCAAGTCTTAGGCAAGCAGATCCCCAAACGTGGTGTACTAGTCATCAGAGATGCACCAGACGCCAGCCCCAATCCAGACGTGTGTGGAGTTCTTGGCATGAATGTAATACGAGAGTGCTACAGAGAGCTGTTTTTGGAACATGGTCCTGCTCTTTTTGATCTTCCCCCAGTCAAGCAGAACCCTTGGCAAAAGGTTTTGCAGTTCTGTCACCGAGCCCAACTTCAGCCCGAAGCACAAGTCCATGGGCCAGTCAGAGTTAAGGGCCGGAGAAAGATTCAAATCCCAGGGGGCACGATGAAACTGGTGCCCACTACCTGCAGAAAGGCATCTCCAGTTCATACGGGATCAGCCCTGTTTGAACCATTGGATTCAGGTTTGCCAAATGGTCTCCTTGCTTCCCCAGCTCTGGTCAAAGTGCTCAATGGTACGGCCTTCATTCCTGTAACCAATGTGGGGACTACAGAGGTAATCTTACCTCCTCGCATTCAGATTGGCACCCTTTGCCAAGCCGAAATTGTCAGCCAACCAGAAAGCATCATTGAAACTATGGAGGAGGGGTCATCTGGTGAACCGATCATTACCATGGCAATGCAGAGTGTGAAGGACAACCCCCTGTCATCTGCCATTGAAGCCCTTGATTTGTCCACTCTTGCAGCTCAAGACCAGGAGAGGGTAAGGTCCCTTTTACATGGCTATCAGTCTGTTTTTTCTTCCCATGATAGTGATTTGGGGTGTACAAATCTGATTGCTCATGAAATTCCTCTTCTAGACGAGACACCTGTCCGCCAGCGGTATAGGTGTATTCCCCCCTCAGAATATGATGCTGTCAAAGCACATGTTCAGCAGCTCCTAGAGAGTAAAGTCATCCGTGACAGTTGTAGTCCATTTGCCTCCCCAATTGTGGTAGTAAAAAAAAGATTCTACCATTAGGCTTTGTGTTGACTACCGTCTCCTGAACTCTAAAACTAGGAAAGATGCTTTTCCCCTACCCCGAATTGAGGAGGCTCTCGACGCTCTGTCAGGTGCCTGCTGGTTTTCCACATTGGATTTAACCAGTGGGTATAATCAAGTTCCTGTTGCCGAACCTGACAAAATGAAGACAGCCTTTTGCACCCCCTTTGGCCTCTTTGAATTTAACAGGATGCCTTTTGGTTTGTGTAATGCACCCAGCACTTTTCAAAGGCTGATGGAAAGGATCTTTGGTTTGCACAATCACCAGTCATTACTGCTTTATTTGGATGATGTCATTGTTTTCTCTGCCACAGTGGATGAGCACATTCAACGTCTGGGAACTGTGTTGGAGACCTTGCGGGTGCAGAACCTAAAGGCTAAACTAGAGAAGTGTTGCTTCCTAAAAACAGAGGTAAAGTACCTTGGCCATGTCATCTCAAAAAGTGGTGTAGCAACTGACCCTGATAAGATCTCTGTAGTGGCAAATTGGCAACTTCCGAAAACTGTTACTGAGCTGAGATCATTTCTCGGCTTTGCTAGCTATTACCGCCGCTTTGTCCAAGGTTTTGCTTCACTGGCTGCACCTTTTCATCGTCTAGTAGCTGAGCTGGGTGGCACCAAGGCTAAAAAGCCATCCAAACGCCCCCTCCAAGAATCGTGGACTGAACAATGTGAAACCAGCTTCCAAAATTTGAAAGCCAGGTTGGTGGATTCCCCTGTATTGGCATATGCAGATTTTTCACACCCCTTCATTCTGGAAATTGATGCCAGTCATTTAGGACTAGGTGCAGTGCTTTCACAACAGCAACAGGATGGCACAGTGCGCCCCATTGTATATGCTAGCAGAGGTTTAAAGCCTACTGAACGCAATATGTCAAACTACAGTTCTATGAAACTTGAGTTCTTGGCCTTGAAATGGGCTATGGCAGAGAAGTTTAGAGAATACCTATTGGGTCATGAATGTGTTGTCTATACCGATAACAATCCTCTAAGCCATTTGTCCACGGCAAAGCTGGGTGCATTGGAACAAC